AAAGCATCAGAAGCCTGTTGGTGAGTCTGAAAGCAAAGATGACCAACCTCTTGCATCAATCGCCAGGCTAGAGCGAGTCAATGAAAACAAGGTGATGGTTCAAATGATGAACCAAATAAAAAAAAAGCCAAGAAATCAGCAATTCGAGAGCTACAGGAAGGGCAATGTCTCCAGGAGGAAAAAACATGATGTCCTGAAGATTTGTCAAGAAATTGCTGATGTTGTGACCAGCACTTCACAACTCATCAGAGGAAGACTGAAATAAAGAGAGAGTCATCCCGTCAAAGACTGGCCAACATTTCCACTAAACCATCCACCGACAGGCCTGATGAATGACCTGAAAGAACCAACATACCCATCCTGCCACCCATCCACGACCCTGTCCTCCCACCCACGAACCCATTCTGCTACCAAACCACGGACCTCTCCTGGCACCCAACCATGGACCTGTTCAACCACCTATTGACGAACCAGTCCCGCAACCAGCCCATGAACCAGTCCTGCCACCACCCACGCCTGCAGACCCACCAAAACACCCATGAGGATCAGTGACAAAGGTCATAATTCCTATAGGTCACTACAACATCAACCAGGATACTACCTCCAAGCCCGTACAAATAGATATTGGTCAGTATGAAGCCCTGAGAAGATGGTGCTCCAAGGCAAGTTCATTTGTGCGGGGACTGATGCCCCCTTTTTTCCAAAGCCACGTCATGAAATGGTCAAATTTGGATGGCATGACTGTTCTTTGTAAAGATGGACATGTGAAAAAGGAACGGTTAGATCACAGATTATTGTTATCTGTATTAGATGTTGTTGAGGAATTTTCTGGCCAAGTTACGGGAGAACTTTGTGCTAATTAGGTCTCTCATTAATGACAAGTGCAGACATAACTAACTTTGTTTCTGTTCAAAAAAAAAATCAATAATCGCTAGACCTCCAGAGTTAAGTCAAGAGTTTTGTAACTTTTTGAATGCTGAACTTGTAATGCTTGTGGTAGAGAGATTAAACTTAGAACTACATGTATGCAGTCATGTTTCATATCACTTAAATATGAAGAATTTCCAGCATCTGTAAACAGGAAGCATTTGAAAAGTATCACCGACGTGTATATTTTGCCATTATGTAAATACTGAATAAAAATATCAGAGTTGAATTACATAACTTCATGCCATAGTCTCAGTCTCAGAACCAAGTTAATCGGTATTTAATGCATTAGAAGGAAAATCCATGTACACGTACAATTCACCTGCATGGGCAAGGTGAGAAAAGAAATAGTTGGTGTAAGAAAGTTTGTCAATAACCACCATGCATTCAAAAACAGTAAGTAGTAACTGTCCCAGCTCGTACAAGTATACATTGGGGACCTGTAAACCTTTCAAACATTTCTCCCCCCCCCCAAAAAAAGTCTCCTTCAACCTATAGGTCTTTGAAGTCGCCGTGGACGTTGCAGATTAGATTAGGGTGCGTTGAACATTTCTATTGTGGGCATTTTGGGGCAGATGAACATGGATCTAATTACAACAGTGATTGGTGCCCATTGACCCAAAGATAATGAGCTCATTATAGAGCACCCCTGGTGTACCACAGGGTTAACCTCGAGTTACTAGTGGTTAAAAAAAGGAATTCTTCCCTTACAGACTGAGGGGTGCTCGTGAACTCGAGGGAATATCTGTAGCGAATGGTCACAAGCACACCAGCTGTCCAAGGGTCCAGGTCCGGGATCAGAGGGCGGAAGTGAATCTGCATAGTCAGTGGCACCTAATCCCAAATGGACGGGAGTAGCACAGACCGGAGGTTTTCCCCCGTAGCTCATCTGAGACTTGGAGGGCTGAGGAGAGGAGGTACAGCCACGGTTTGTCTGCAGGTTGGGTGGATGAAAGGGCTGAGATGAGCTGCAGTCCCCTTGATGCCAAGGTCTGGAGAGTTGAACTCAGCGATCATCAGGAAAGGACTGGTGGGGAGGGGCAGGTCTTGGAGGTACGCAGAAACTATTAAACTTGTAGGGTGTGTCAATCCGCTTAGCTTCAGCCTCAATCATCTCCATGAATTTCTCGGCAAAGAGGTCCTTGCCGTAGAGAAGGAGTTCCTGTAATCTTGACTTGACTCCCTCATAGGGGATATTCATGGTGTCCAAGGTGTTGGATCTGCATGCGGATGTGACCAAGATGGAGATTTGAACAAACTTCTCATCAAGCACTTTGAGGGTAACAGCCACTAGGTCCAAAGTCACTGGCAAGTCCTTACAGGTACAGGTTAGGTACTTGAAGAGGAGATCCAGCAAGGCAGTACAACAAAGGCCATGGCGTGAAGCTTTGTAGAGCTTTCCAAGGGTAGTTTCAAACACAGACTTATCCTTGTCCTTTAACAGAGTCTTCCCAGCAAAATTCAGGCATCGGAGGACAGCTTATCTTTGGCGGCAGTATGTAGCTCAAGCACAGAAAGGTTCTCACAATTGTCCTTGGAGAACTGGAGGTAAGTTGCTGATCTGACCGGGAACAGGCACAAGTGTTTTGCACCAGCAAGAATCTTGAACATCTCCGCGCAAGAACAGTCTAGAGGGAGTTCCGGGAAGAGCGGGGCTGAAGTCTCCAGTCTAATGAGGAGGCACTTGAAGGAGGTATGCGATGAGGCCTCACCAGTCAGAAGGTTAGTGGGCAGGCCCCAAATCTGGATCATATCCTTCTGCAGGAGATGGATACATGCCTCCGGAGGGATTAAATTTGCTGCAGAGGTAATGTCTTCGTTATTGGAGGAAGAATCATGATCCGCTTGAAGCTGTTCAGCGGGAAGGGAGACATCACCTGTTGTGCCATGGTCGTGGGATTGGGCCAGGTGTGAACCGTACATGGAACCCAAGCCCAAATAGGTTGGAGACTGTCGTGTGAGGGACAGATCAACAGAGCTGGATGCAGAGTCGGATGCAGATGCGGATTCGGATAGGGTTCCACATGCATGGGATCTGGATCCGACGCAGTGGCCGGGGGAGTGGGGTTTGACTTTAGGCAGCAGGCAATTGTAGACAATGTCTCCTAGAGAGACAGACTGCTGTCATCAACTCAGTTGAGGAAAGGTCTTGCTTGGATGATGAGAGGCAGTTGGTGCATTAGCACAGAGGCTTGGGGCCATCGCGGCGTGTGGTCTTGTGAGCCATACCGGTGGGTTAGTGTCGTCAACGACAGGCACTGGTAGTGGGGAGACCACCGTTGGATCTCAGTGCTTGGGAGCTGGGCATGGAAATGTTCGCACTGCCGAGACCCAGCTAGCGGGGGGGGGTAAATATTGGTGGAGGTGAGGGAACGAAGCAGTCAGATACCGCCCGCTCTATAGCTCAGTCCCCGAAGTGTGGTGTGGCTAACCCTACACTGGACAGGGAATAGTTCTGCCTGTAGGTGTTAGCACGGATTCTCAAGTATAGTGTGCCATGCCACTTGATATCCGCAGACCGACTCCTGTCTGTTTACAGGGGAGACTAGGGACACAGAAGAATGCAGCATAACCTCGCAAATTCCTAACAGTCCCAGGGTCACCCAGTTGACTCTATATATTTACTAGGAAGGTGAGGGACCATGGGACGAATCACTGCACAACCTTGACCTTATGTAAAATACTCAGTGTTATCACAGCGTTGTTAACATGGAGGCTATGTAAAGTGCACCAACAGAAAAAAATTACCACAAAAACAACAAATACACATGCTCAGTCATGAAAAATATATTAAGGAATATATACAGTGGAATGTCGCTATACCGAACACCACTATACCAAACATTCGGCTGTACCAAACATCGTCCTTGGCTCCCAATATTTTGTGCAAAAAACTTACGGAAAATTATGTACATGTAGTTGCAAATTAACCAAGATTCGCCACAGCATGCATTGGAGATCAATCCTGAGGGGGAGCTTCACGACTTTTAGGATGAACTAAATATCAATTTTGTAACTCAAAATTAAATAAAAAACAAAAATAATTAACAGATACATTTCTAGAAACCTAAAACGTGAAAACAAAGGCAAAACATCATGAAAACAGAAAATCAAAGTATCACAAGAGGGTGCACATCAGTTAGACAAGAGAGGGCGCTATTCAACATGGCAACGAAACGTTCGGCAGTTAATTTTGCTATTCCTAACGACCGCTGTACCAAACATTTAGCATGGACCCTGGCGTGTTCGTTATAGCGGTGTTCCCCTGTATTTATTACAATACATTACAGTTGATCAAATTAACACAGGAATGTATAGCAAACTGAAAACTTGAAGATGCCAAAATTGACACTTCGGTTAGAAATCACGTTAAGAAAAAAGGACGAACATGGCGGCCGCTCCGCTATGCATTATGGGACTAGAGGGTACACTACGGTTGATCAAGTTTTTAGCGAATGTAATCATACGCAAAGGAAATTTGCATATTTAGTGACTGTTTGGTGTAGGTTCCAAGCAGAAGACTCAACGGTCAAATTTTGATAGCATCATGACTGTTCTTAGTAAAGATGGACATGTGAAAAAAGGAACGATTAGATTGCAAATTATTTTTATCTATGTTAGATGCCGTTGAGAAGGAATTTCCTGGCTGAGTTAAGGGGTGGAACTTACAAGGCTACCAAGTTGTTTCAACAAAACTAACAAACACTTTTAAAATTAAATTGTTGAGATGTAATGCACCTACTTAATAGCCTCTAATTTTTTACACATTAAAACTATGGCAGATATATGCCTTTGTGAAACAAATCTAGACGCCCAATGATGAAACATACTTTCTTATGTTTAAAGTTTATATTCTATTATATTTAAGTTTATAAACAATTTCAAATTTATTTAATTTGAACATCTAAACTTTACATCCATATCAGAGTGATCTTGACTACTGACCTTTATCTCAAAACAAGCAGAGCTGAAAACATCCAATTTACCAATACAGGTATACATTCACATATGGGTAAAAGAACTGTTTTGTAATACGCACGTTGCTTCTGAGCTGGCAGGCTAGTTTAATTTACCTGATCAATGAAATATTTGATATCTGTCCTCCTGTTGAAGTGTAGACAGTAGAGCCATCAATATCCAGAGCATCACTCGCAGAAATCATCAGTGTTTCTAATGTATCTCCACAAAATACTACCTACAAAAGGGTATGAGTTAAGAAACAAAGTTATACAACAAAGCACATATGGCAGACCAGAAATTAGTATGTTATAAAATACATGTTTTTACACAGAAGTAATTGGCTGTTTCGGTCACCAGCCATAACAGCTTTTGTTTTTCTTCAGATTTTTTTATTTTATTGGTTTTTGCGCAAGTTGCAAAAAGGCATTCTTTTTACTTTTTTTGGGGGGGGCTTTTTCGCAGTTTGCGAAAAAGGCATTCTTTCTGTCAAGTTTATTTTGGGCTTTTTCCCAATTTTGTGAAAAAGCCTTTGTAATGGTCAGGATTTTTTTCGGGGGGGTTCTTCTTCTTTTCGGGCCCAAAGCCCATAGACTTTGCACACGTTTTTTCTGTGCAGGACTTTTCCCATTAATTTTTGTTGCACAGCATTCAGAGTTGGCATAGGCATAGTCATTATTTCAAAGATGTATGCTGAAGCATGACGTCATGATGGCGTCATCAAGTGATTTATCATTGATTTTTAAATATTTATTTCAGCCTATTCACTTTGTACACGTTTTCAAGGCACTATTTCGGTACTTTAATAATCGTTGATTGTCGTCAAAGGTACAGCATGCACTGACTATAAAAAGAAGATAATACTGAAATATTCACGTCATGATGATGTCATCAAGTGATTTATTATTAAATATTGAATATTTAAATATTCCGTGAAATTTATAAAAATCCAAATAAAATAAACTGTGGCCTCCCGCAACATTCTATTTGCAGCAAGTGGCAGGATAAAATGTGGTCATGAATTCATCTCATGTGGGTCAAATCACGTGACCCCTCGTCCTGGTCGAAACCGGAAGTGGTCTATTTTTTAAAAATGGTAATAGGTATCAAGTTGTTTTCAATGGTGTAAGTCTGTCAGGGTATTGTTTTCTTCAAATCATCTACTGATGACATCACCTAATTACCGAGCGCCCTCTTGCGACAGGTTAAAAATTCCTAAAAATGAATTTTGAATAGATGTCTGTGGTGAAGTTCGTTCGAATCGCCTGAAAATTGATGTAAATGATCAACTTTATCCTGTCACGTGTGTGAACTTTGGGGCTGATGACGTCATCAGACCGGAAGTTACAATAAAAACTTCTTCTATTCTTCAAAATTCAGTAAAAAATCAACCGTAGTGGTAGGGGTGGGAGAGTTCTGGACCAGCCCCTCTTTTTCACTTCCCAGACCAGCTAGGCTTTTTCACTTCCCAGACCAGCTAGGGACTTTCCCAAAACTCGTGACCCCAAAAAAGGACTTTCCTAATTGCTCGCGGTCACGCATAAAACATTTGGGCCCAACTTACACGTGTGCAACCTTTGACCTTGTGACCCAATTTGCGACTTTGTCGTGACGCCCAAAATGGGAATTCCCCCAGGGGAATGTCCACCACCTGAAAAAATTGCTGCGTCTCGAGCACTCTGGGAAAATTGAGATAATTTTTTTGGCTGGATGAAATATTTATTCTCAAAGATTTATGCGTCATTTAAAAATGAAAAATAAATAGAAATAATACAAATACATAAAAAGACATGATAGACCAGCAAATAAACGTAAATTGTTATTTTTGCTAAGACACGACAAACTCGGTTGCCTTGGTAGATTTGTACGGTTGCTCATGCTGTTTAAATTCTGACTGTTTATACAAATGCGCCGATTGTAAAGAGTGCCACGCGTGTTATAAATGTGCCATATGCACTAAATGTAATAATTGTGCGTTTTGTGCCGAATGCGACAGATGTATTAATTGCGTCAGGTGCTTCAATTCATACGACTGTCGAAATTCAAACACCTTGACCAGTTGCAAAGACTGTTACGAGTGTGGCAGTTGTATCGAGTGTTTTGATAGTACCACTTGCACCTGCTGCGTAAATTGTGTCAAGCTAGAGGGAATGGATTACGTGGTGCTCGTGGATGGCAAGTATAAAAGGTTAGGCAAATGCGAGAAACGTACCACTGCCTTATTCTACGTTTAACCTGGACTCTGAGTTATACGAAATAGGGCTAATTATTGAATACCACGTAGACGTTGACAATTCAATTAAAGTTGAAATTCCACCCGAGTTAATAGACACAGCTGATTAGATGAATAAAAATGAGAACAATTTTGGACAAAGCTGAAAAAACGGAACCATGTCAACCCACATTTACATCGTTTCAGACGACCACGAGCATCTAAATGCTGGTAATGGCGATCCAAATATCACTTACGGTTCATTTCAAATCCTGTGATTAAAGACAGCACACATGTAAGTCAATAATGCTCACTCATTTATTACTTCTACACAGACCAACAAAAGCGTTTATTAATTATGATGCCAGACACGATGTGTTACGGTATAAATCCTGTGCATAAATTTGGCACGCCGGATAAAACCGCCGAAAATAGTGTAGGTCGTCAAAATTTAACGCACAAGTATAAATTACCAAAAGTGAAAACGGACCCGGCACGCCTTTTCATTACAATGACGGTTATGTCCCGGTTCCCGGTAAAAACTACGACATGCATGATTCACATGTGACAAACGGCAAATATGCGGGGTCTACTTTTATGGGCTTTGGTTGGGCTAAACTGCCAAAGGGCTCTAGCCACGCGAGTACATGTACCGTCACTTGGATTCAACAGTCGGACGCGGTCACTCTGGCTTGGTCAGATTTCATTCCCATAAAGATACACTTGACAGACGTAGGAATCACAAAGGTAAACGAATTGATTCAAGCTTACGTATACAGGTTGTTGGGAGCTCAGGCTCAGAAAAAGACCAGGGTTCTAGCCACTGGCACTGGATTAGACGCACACAGACAGTTTATCACAATCGTGGAGTTTTTTATAAATTCAGAGCCCGACTTGGAACAATCGATTAATCAATTTCAAAATTCATTGCAATACGCGAAAATGGCTCTAAATTTTGTAGTCGCGCCCAGTTTATACCTGGTTCCTTCTGATATGGACTTAGGCAATGGCACATTTAAGGGTTACCATAACAATTTCAAATCGTGCCCAAAGACACACAGTCCGGTTATGTACCGAGTTTAAATTCAGGCATTGATTCAAGCAGCGATTTTGACAATCAAGTGGACAAAAGAGAGCCAGAAAAAGAAACAACAATTTTACCGAAACCGACTGTGGAGCCAATTTTAACGGGTCCAAATGTAAAACCCATTTCAACAACTAGCCCAGAACTTAAACCATAAGACGTGCATAATGAAGAAAAACTGTAATTGAACGATTGCACTAGCGGGACTGGGATTTATGTTGTATAATTTATTACGTTAGAAAACATACAAATTAAAGGCAAAAAAAGTCCTGTTTTCAATTGAAAACAGGACTTTAATTTTTTCTCCCCAAGTTAAACCAGATTTACATTTTTTGCATCTTCATCAAAGGTAAAATACCCGCGCCGATGAATAAAGTCCACACGTGTTCCGCGATCCATCCCATCGCTTTACTGGCCACGTTTAATATCCACCCTAAAATGCTACCTATTATCCCCTCAATGCTGCCAGCGACTTTAAACCGAGTTTTTTCAACACGTTTGCCAAGTTCCATAATTGCCATTTGATCCAATCGATGACACCGCCTTTTGATGGAGGTGTCGGTTTAGGCCCCGGTTCTGGCCTTGGCCCCGGTTCTGGTTCTGGCGTCCCAGTGGCCTTTACGCTGGCGGCTACACTGGATACAATTGTACAAATGGCTAAACCAAAAGCCGTTAATATGCTCGCGATCATAATTCCCCTTCTCAAAATAACACGCGAATCCTTTCGCCCAATGTCAAGTCTTTGTCCAATTAAACCATGAAAGAAATGGTTTCTTTAATGCGGTTAATTTGCGTGCATAGTTTATCCGTATTTCTATTGATAACTAATAATCGACCCTGTCTCTCTATTTTTAAGTCGTCCAAGTGCTCTGAAAGTTCTGTACGTTCAGCATCAGTCAACGCTTCGTCCACTTCATTTTTAACCTGTTGAATTTTATCGTCTAGCAGTTCCAATTTACTTTGATTTAAAGTTAGTTCTCCTTTAACTGTTTGTAACGATTTGTCTAAAGCGAGAAGTTCTTGTTAAAATAAAGTTTTACTTTATTATAAATGAGTTTTTATTTTAATCAATGGGCAAGCTCACGGGCAAAATGCCCTGTGACACGAGCCAGCCCTGCGTGGCCAATGCGCCGCTCGACACTGTGGTCAATAACGCGTCTTTGACAGATAATTTATTAAAATCGGGCGGTTTAATTTTAAATAGCTTATTTGATAACGTGGCATATGTTACTGAAATTAAACTGACTACGGCGTCATGGTACACCGTATAGATTAAATAATAACTGGATTAAGACCTTCTATTTTATTGTAAATTCCTTGCCTAAATATTTTTTGGATTCACCAGATGCTACGATCGAACAGAGTCTATCTTTGAAACCGGGTTTATTTTCGGAGCTTTTTTCTTTGACTCTTGAATCAACGAGTTTACTTCTAATGTCGTCCATTTTAATATATCATTTTTTAAATTGTTGAACACTTGTTTTAGGCTTTTGTATTTGTAGGTGTAGTTCGTTAAATTAACTGCAATAATTAGCTCAATAATTAGTTGAATGAATTGCAGCATTGTTGCTCTTTACTTACAACTAAACTTAAAATGCTTGAACTAAGCTAACATAAACTTAGTTCAAGCAAATTAAACAAAATGTTAAACAAATAATGAGTAACTTATTCTAGCTCATCAATTAGTTTAGGTTTGTTTTAAACTAGCTTATCCGACTTTTTCTTGTGGTTGCAACTCAAGCAGCACAGCACAAAGTTTGATTTAATATGGCCTAAAGAATTGTTTATCCATTCAATGGTACACTAGTCAAATTCACACTCCAAAAGCTGCATTTTAACTTTACAATCAGGATAGAAGCAGTGCTCATAATCTTCAATTAAACCACGACAGAAATCAGTGTCGATAAACCCGTCAGGGTCAAATGGATTATATTTCTT